TATTGGGATGGTAAAAGTTTTATCTAACCCTTCCACCCCCACAGACAAATACATTATTACACTTAGGGAATATTTACTATGGTTATTTTAATTTTATCGTTACTCTTCTTTCTGGCTTCCTAGAAGCTTTAGGTAGCTGCCTTCATGCCTTTAGCCAAAGATTTTACCTGACAAACCTTCTTTGTCATCAACAACAACAACTGCTGTAAGCTTTTTGAGATCAAGGATCATATTTGTTCATTTTTGTGTTCTTCACATCTCACCCTATGTTGTCTAACAAACTTAAAGTGTTTCATATATATATATATGGAACTTATATATATATGTATATATATACATATATATACACAAATATGTACTTGACATTTATCAGGCAAAATTAGAAAACTTTTTTATTGTGCTATATTTCATGATTCTATATAAAACACAAATACAGTGAAACTCGTGAGAGCTGAAACTCAGCAGGACTACCTTGATTTTTCTGGGTCTCAAAAGTTTTTGACTTTTGGCAAGATGCAGTCTTACCACTTTTCTGTTGCTCTCCATTAGTGGAAAATAAGGCAGTTCCCCAGGTTACAAACGTCTGACTTACCTACAGCCCATAGTTAACGAACTGTAAAGCCTATTAAAAGTTTATGGTACATACAGTGGTCCATAATAGCAAACGGGCACTACTTTCTGACACGCATCAAAACATTATTATTACTCTATTATTACGTTAAAGATGTTTTAGTGTATCTGGAAGTATTTCTTTAATTTTTTTATGCATAGAAGGGTATACTACATACTATATACTAAGACAAACACTTGACTGACTGATGTTAGATATGAACTCTGCCTGACTGTTCCGTTTTACGTACAAATTCACTTTAAAGACAGATTTAGGAATGGAACTCCTTTGTAATCCAGGGACTGCCTGTATTTCAGTTTTCCTTTTCTGACAGGTTTCCGCCTTACACAGGCTCTGACTTTCATGGGTTTTATTGTATAGAGTAGTACAATGAATATATGTTCCTAATTACTCAGCTTTAACAATTAAACATTGTCAACATTTTGCCATTCCTGTTTCATGTAATGTCTTACCTTTTCTGTTTTTCTTTCGTTGGAATATTTTCAAGCAAATTTCATGTATCTTATCATTTAATCTATGAATACTTCTGTATGCATTTCTAATACCTAAGAACCTGAAAAAGAATACAACCACAGTACTGTTAATACCTACCAAAATTAAGAGTTCCTCAATGACATGTGTTCAGACTTTTTTGATTCCTTAAATGTCTCTTTATAATTGATTTATTTGAATTAATATTCAAATAAGATTTACACATTTCATTTAGTTGCTATGTCTCTTAACCTTCTCTTAACCTTAATTATACCGCTGTCCCTCATACCTCCTTCACTTTTTTCCGGTGCCATTTGTTGAAAAAACTAGGTCATTTGTCCAGGAGAATTTCCTGCATTCTGGATTTGGCCCATTGAAGCCTTGTTGAGTATTCAACATAATCCTTTGCCCACAAACTAGTGGTAAAGCAGTGATTCACAACTTTGGTTGAAACTGAAATTACCTGAGGAGGTTTTAAACATCCTGATTCTGAGGCCGCATTAAATTGGAATCCATGGGGTGTCATCTAAATATCAGTAGTTTTAAAACTTTCCCAAATGCTTTTAGTGTGCAACCAAGGTTGTGAACTTGATTGGGTAGAGCTTGACTGGATTTAGGTTCCGTTTATTTGGCAAGAAACATTCATAACCGGCGTGATCATATAATTTATTTCCAGAAAGAGATGATTTTAGGAACGAAAACAAAACAAAAACCAAACTCATTGCTGTCGAGTTGTTACGACTTATAGCAACCCTATAGGACAGAGTAGAACTGCCCCATAGGGTTTCCAGAGAGCGGCTGGTAGATTGGAACTGCCGCCCTCTGTGTTAGCAGCCAGATGCTTAACCACTGTGCTAGCAGGGCCCCTATGAATGAAGGGGGATACTATTAATGGTAACAGTAGGACAGTAGCCATATACTGAGATTATCCTGGGCAAATTAGGACGTATAGGTTTCCTACTAGGTGGTGCTGTGAATTTATCCAGAAATAACATAAAAGGTTGTCCTACTTTAAGTGATATTAAAATTGATCATTTGGTTTAGATGGTAGTGATAAATGGTATCAGCATTTGTTGTGGTTTGTCCAGCTTTGGTATCAGTGTAATGGCTGGCTTCATAGAATGAGTTAAGAAATGTTCCCTCTACTTAAATTTTTTTGGTAGACTTTAAGAAGATTTGGTGTCAGTTCTTTTTAAAATATTTGGTAGAATTTAGCAGTGCAGCCATCTGGTTTGGCACTTCTCTTTGCTGGGATGTTTTGCATTACTGATTATTACTGATTTAATCTGTTGTTGTAGGTCTGTTGAAATTTTCTATTTCTTTTTGAGTTAATTTCAGTGGATTATCTGTTTCTAGGAATTTGTCCATTACATCTAGGTTATTTAATTTGTTGGCTTTTCAGCTGTTTGTAGTATTGTCTTATAATCCTTTTATTCTGTAGGGTTAGTAATAATGTTGCCACTTTCATTTCTGATTTTAGTTTTTTTTTTGCATCTTCTCTTTTTCTGTTATTCTACATAAAGTTTTGTCAATTTATTGATCTATTCAAAGGACCAACTTCTGATTTCATTGATTTTTCTCTGTTGTTTTTCTGTTGTCTATTTAAATTTATCTCTGCTCTGGTCTTTGTTATTTCTTTCCTTCTGGTAGCTTTGGGTCTAGTTTTCTCTTCTTTTCCTAGTTTCTCAAGTTCTGAGTTAGGTTATTGATTTGAGATAATTCTTTAGTTGTTGGAAAATATATATAACGTGACATTTGCCAGTTTGTTTTTCACAGTACAATTTAGTGACATCAATTATATTAATCATGTTGTGAAATTATCACCAATATCTATTGCCAAATTTCTGTTATCATAAACTGAAACTCAGTGCTTTCTAAACAATGGTTTCTCTTTTCCCCTTTCCTCCTGCCCCTAGTAACCACTGATAAACTTTGGTCTTTATACCTTTGCCTATTCTAGCTATTTCATATGTGTGAGATCATACAGTAGTTGTCATTTTTTGATTGACTTATTTTACTTGGTATAATGTTTTTAAGGGTTATCCATGTTATAACATGTATCAGGACTTAATTTCTATTTGTGGCTGAGTAATATTCCATTGTATGTATATACCACATTTTAAAAATTATTTCATCCGTTGATGGACATTTAGGTAGTTTCAATCTTTTGTGAATAGTGCTGCAGTGAACATTGATGTTCACGTGTCTGTTTGCATTGTCGTTGCTTTCAAGTCTCCTGGATGTATACCTAGATGTGGAATTGTGTGATAGTTGTAAGTTTAACTTTTTAAAGAGCCACCAAACTGTTTTCACAGTGGTTGTACCATTTTGCATTCCCACCAGCAATGGATAAGGGTTCCAGTTTCTCCCATATCCTTGCCAACATTTCTTGTTTTCTTCTAATATAGGCTTTTACTGCTATAGATTTGCTTCTGAGCATTGCCTTCACTGTATTCCATAAGTTTTGGTATGTTATGCTTTTGTTTTCATTATCTCTAAGTATTTTCTGTTTCCCTTTGGTTTCATCTTTGACCGGTTGGCTGTTAAATAGTGTGTTGTTTAATTTCCACATAATTGTGTAATTTCCAGTTTTCTTTCTGTTAATTGATTTCTAGTTTCATTTATTGTGGTCAGAGAAGATACATTGTATGATTTCAGTCCTTTTAAAATTTAGTGAGATTTGTTTTGTGACCTAGCATAGGGTCTATCTGTAGAATGATTCAGGTACATTGGAGAATAATGTGTATTGTATGGTTGTTGGGTAGAGTTTTCTGTATATTTGTTCGGTCTACTTGGTTATAGTGTTTAAGTCTTCTACTTTCTAACTGATCTTCTGTCTAGATGTTCTGCCTGCCATTGAAACCCACGTATTAAAGTATCCCACTATAATTGTAGTGGGATTTCTTCCTTCAATTCTGTGTTTGCTTTATATATTTTGGAGCTCTGATGTTAGGTGTACATATGTATCTTCTTGATAAATTGATCCTTTTATCGTTATATAATTCTCTTTGTCTCTTCTAACAGATTTTGACTTAAAGTCTATTTTGTCTTATATTAATATAGCCACCCTAGCTGTCTTTTGGTTCCTGTGTGCATGGAATATTTTTTTTCCCATTCGTTCATTTTCAGCCATTTGTGTCTTTGAGTCTAAGGTATGTCCCTTGTAGACAGCATATAAATGGATCTTTTTTTTTTTTTAAAACCCATTTTCCAATCTCTGACTTTTGATTGGAGAGTTTATTCCATATACATTTAGAATAATTACTGATAATGAAGGACTTCCTTCTACCATTTTGCTGTTTGTTTTTTGTGTATCTTTTAGCTCTTTATACCCGTTTCTTCCAATACCGTTGTCTTTTGTGTTTAGTTGATTTTTTGTAGTGAACCATTTTGGTTCTTTTCTTTTTTTCCTTTTGTGTGTGTTTTTTAGATATTTTGTTTGGTTACCATGGGGATTACATTTAACATCCTAAATTTATAACAACCTAGTTCAGATTGATACCAATTTAACTTCACTAACGTATAAAAACTCTGTCTTTAAAATACATATAACACAGCCTTTGCCCATTGTTGTGTTATATCGCTCATCCTCCCCTTTATGTTACTATCACAGTTTACATCTTTATACATCATGTGGAAACCCTGGTGGCATAGTGGTTAAGATCTGTGGCTGCTAACCAAAAGGTTGGCAGTTCGAATCCACTAGGCACTCCTTGGAAACCTTATGGGGCAGTTCTACTCTGTCCTATAGGGTCACTGTGAGTCGGAATTGACTCGATGGCAGTGGGTTGGGCCCAGTAACATAAACTTTATACCTGTTGCCCTTGAGTTGATTCTGACTCATAGTGGCACTGTGGGACAGGGTAGAACTGCCACCGTTGTTTCCAAGGAGCTGGCTGGTGGATTTGAACTGCTGACCTTTTGGTTAGCAGCCTGGGCTTTTAACCACTGTGCCACCAGTGCTCCAACATAAAGTAATTTTAAATGCATTTGTTTTATATCAAGTGGGACCTAACACCTGTAGTTATAAACCAAAAATATAAAACTGTCTCTTACATTTGCCCATGAAATTATCTTTACCAGAGATTGTTTTTTCTGTGTAAGGCTTTGAGTTACTGTCTAGTGTCCTTTCCTTTCCATCTGAAGAACTCCCTTTAGCATTTCTTATAGAACAGTTTTAGTTGTAATGAATTCCCCTCTATTTTTGTCTGGGACTGTCTTAATTTCACCCTCGTTCTTTTCTTTTTTAACCAACTGATAATTTATTAAAGTAGTTGATTTAAGCATCTGTAATGGTGACTTCAACCTCTGTCCCAGGCTCAATACTGATGGAAGTGATCTGCTTAACAGTCTGGGAAGGACTGTGCAAGTGGATGAGTCGCTTGGGGATTTTCATCTGGAAACGATCGCAGGTCTTAGAACTTTTGCCACAAGGACTGCTTTTCCTCATAGTTATTCTCCAAGTCTTGGTAGGCATCCTAACTGGTCCCTTCACTTTGAGGTTCTTCTCCTTTGTGCCTCTAATCAAGTCAGCACACTCCTTCTCCAGGGATTTTATGCTGCTGCTGGTTATAGGAATTCTAATCTGGTGAATGGCCACCTCTGGTTCCACAGATGTCTTTCCCATGTCTTTAAAAGCCATGGCTGCGGTGTGGCTTCCTGACCGACTTGTTCCTCAGCAAGAGCAAACAGTGGTGAGTCAGGAGCAGGAATGGGCCAGTGAGGCACCTTTGCAGCGGCGACCATGTCTTCTTCAAAGAGCTCGCCATTGTTCTTGAAGGACACTTTTGCTGGATATAGAATTCTTTGTTTACTTTTTTTTTTTCTTTCAGAACTTTAAATATGTCATCCCATTGCCCTCTGGCCTTCAGAGTTTCTGAGGAGAAATTGAGCTTTAATCTTATTGAGGATCCCCTGTATATGATGATTCACTTTTTTCTTGCTGCATTCAAGATTTTCTTTTTATCTTTGGTTTTCAACAGTTTCATCATAAAGTGCCTCAGTGTAGTGTCTTTGGGTTTATCCTATTTGGTGTTTATTGAGCTTCTTAGATATTTAGATTCATGTCTTTTGTCAAATTTAGGAAGTTATCTATCATTATTTCTTTCTGTCTGTTTCCCTCTCTTCTCCTTCTGGGACACTCATAATGCACAAGTTGGTTCCCTTAATGATGTCCCATAATTTCTTTAGGTTCTGTTAACTTTTCTTCTTTCTTTTTTGTTTTTGTTCCTCAGGCTTAACAATTTCAATTTTCTTGCCCTCTGATTCACAGATTCTCTCTTCTGCCAGCTTAAATCTGCTGTTGAGCCTTTCCAGTGACAGTTTCCTTTCAGTTACTGTAATTTTCAGCTCCAGTAGTTCTTTTTGGTTCCTTTTTTATAGTGTCTCTCTTTATTGATATTCTTGTTTTGTTCATGTATTGCGTTTCTGGGTTTTTCTAGTTCTTTCAGCATAGTTAATATTGTCATTTTAAAGTCTTCTGGTCTGATCATTATTTGGATTCCCATAGGGATGGTTTCTGTCACTTCATTTTGTTTCCTTGTTGCTTTGTATGCCTTGTGATTTTTGTGTTGAAACTAGGATATTTGAATATTATATGCTAGCTCTGAAGTTCAGATTCTTCACCTTCTCCAGGGTTTGGAAATTTGTTTTTTAACTGTTGAAGGCTATAGTAATCCATCTACTCAGCAACTTCCCCTACCTATTTTTGCAATGATAGCTCTTCTGGATGTGTGTGAATACCTAGGACCTGTTCCCCATCCTGTACCTAGCTAATGTTTTGAGAGAGATTTCCTTGTACTCTGGGGGGAAAAAAGCCAAAAACATTTTTTCCAGTCCTTGCAACTTGGCTCTGTGTCAGGACTCTCTTCCGCACTTTGGCATGTATGTAGTATGCAAAGGGATCAGCCCAAAATGGTAGCATAGGTTCTTAGGTATTTTCTGTGCATGTGCTTTGCTCCGAACATGCGTGTGGCTTTCTCAGTTCCCGTGTGTACATGGTGCTCTTGAAAGCACAAATTTCTAAAAGAAACTGTAGCTTCTCCTTCAGCCCTTAGGCATTAATTCTATGTTCCAGTTACGCTGTTTAGCCTTAGGCAGCAAAGGCCAGTCACCACCTTCAGGTGTTGCTTGCTGGCCTCCGCCACATACCTGACCAGTGTGAGCTCCGAGGCAGGTCAAATCGAGGGAAACACGCGCTTCAGTCTTTTAGGCAGCACCTAGACAGATCAGAACACACACACACAAAGCTCTAGCAAAGTCTGCTCTGCTCACTCCAGATCCAGAGATCAGGTCCCCTCTCTGAGACCGCAGTTCATGGCCTGCTGCTGAGCTGGGGAGAGGGAAGACACAGACAGTGGAAAATAAAAGTCTTCCTACTGTATAAAAGTCACTTTTTTCTTGACTTAGCATTCACTTAGTTGCTACAGTCTTCTGATTGCATTTCGGAATTCTTACAGAATTGAGTGTACTGATTTGTAGTTGTTTTCCTTGGTAATTGTGTGGGGGGATGGAGTTATAAAAATGTCCATGCTACCATTTTCCAGGAAGTCTGATTATTTTTTGGTCAAGGGGTCTTTATTAGTTTTGTAAGGTGGCAGTAACAAATTACCGCAAACTTGCTGGCGTAAAACAACAGAAATACATTCTTGCACAGTTCTGAAGACTGGAAGTCCAAAATGAGGATGTTGGCACAACCATGCTCCCTCTGAAGGCTCTAGTGGAGAATCTTTCTTTGCCTCTTCTGGCTTCTGGTTGCCCTAGGTGTTCCTTGGCCTCTGGCAGCACAACTCCAGTCTCAGTCTCTGTCTTCATCTGGCTTTCCTTTCTCTGTGTCTGTGTCTTCTTTACTCTCTCTTTAAGGACACTGGTTATTGGATTTAGGACCCCCTCAATCCAGGATGATCTCATCTCAAAGTTTTTACCTTAATTAGCCTACAGAGATCCTTACTGCAAATAAAGTCACTTTCTGAGGTTGTGGGTAGACATATATTGTGGGGGCCACAATTCAGCCCACTGCAGGGGTCTTTAAGGTTGGCTCCAGTATCATTTTGACTTGACTTCAGTGGTCCTTGAAAAGATTGCTCACTTTCTAGCCAAGAAGATGTCCAAGGCACAACCTATATATTAATATCACAGACTTGGAATTAGCCACTTTTCTAAGAAGTTGGTAACTTTTAGTGGGATATGATATTTAGAGATTGCAGTCTGAACTCAGGCAAACTTCTTGAAGTTAGTTTTTTTTTTAATACTTGTTTTATTGTACTTTAAGTGAAAGTTTATAATTTAAGTTAGTCTCTTACTCAAAAATTTATACATACATTGTTTTGCGACCCTAATTGCTCCCCCTATACTGTGACAGCACACTCCTCCTTTCTATTCCTGATTTCCCGGGTCCATTCAACCAGCTCCTAACCCTCTCTGCCTTCTCATCTCACCTCCGGACAGGAGCTGCCTATTTAGTTTTATGTATCTATTTGAGCTAAGAAGCACACTCTTCATGAGGATCATTTTATGTCCCACAGTCGAGTCTAATCTTTGTCTGAAGAGTTGACCTCAGGAATCTTTTTAGTTCTGGGTTGACAGAGAGTCCGGGGGTCATGCCTTCTGGGGTTCCTCCAGTCTTAGACCATTAAGGTCTGGTCTTTTTACTAGAATTTGAGATACTGTACCCTGCTTTTCTCCTGCTCCATCAGGGACTCTCTGTTGTGTTCCCTGTCAGGGCGGTCATTGGTGGTAGGTGGGCCCAATCTAGTTCTTCTGGTCTTGGGCTGATGCAGTCTCCGATTTATGTGGCCCTTTCTGTGTCTTGGGCTAATACTTTCCTAGTGTCTTTGGTGTTCTTCATTCTCCTTTACTCCAGGTAGTTGGGACCAATTGATGCATCTTAGATGGCCGCTCGCTAGCTTTTAAGACCCCAGATGCCACTCACCAAAGTAGGATGCAGAACATTTTCTCGATAAACTTTGTTATGCCAGTTGACCTAGATGTCCCCTAAAAGCATGGTCCCCAGATCCCTACCCCTGCTGCTCTGTCCCTCAAAGTGTTTGGTTGTATTCAGGAAACTTTTTAGCTTTGGGTTAGTCCCGTTGTGCTGACTTTGCCTGTACTGTGTGCTGTCCTTCCCTTCACCTAAGATCATTCTTGTCTCCTATCTAGTTAGTGAATAACCCTCACCCTCCCTCCCCACCCTCGTAACCATCAAAGAATGTTTTCTTCTGTTTTTAAACCTTTTCTTGAGTTCTTATAATAATGGTCTTATGCAATATTTGTCTTTCTATGACTGGCTAAATTCACTCAGCATAATGCCTTCCAGATTCTTCCATCTTATAAGATGTTTCACGGAGTCATCGTTGTTCTTTATCATAGTATAGTATTATATTATGTGAATATATCATAATTTCTTTATCCATTTGTTCGTTGATGGACACCTAGCTTGTTACCATCTTTTTGCTATCGTGAACAGTGCTGCCGTGAATATGGGTGTGCATATAGCTATTTGTGTGACAGCTTTTATTTCTGTAGGATATATTCCAAGCAGCGAGATTGCTGGATCATATGGTACTTCTATTTCTGTCTTTTTAAAGAAGCACCAAATCGATTTCCAAAGTGGTTGTACCATTTTACATTTCTGCCAACAGTGTATAAGTGCGTCTCTAGCATTTATTTTGTGTTTTTTGGATTAGTGCTAGCCTTGTTGGGGTGTGATGGTATCTCATTGTAGGTTTGATTTGTATTTCTCTAATGGCTAATGATCGTGAGCATTTCTTCATGTGACTGTTAGCCACCTGAATGTCTCCTTTGGTGAAGTGCCCGTTCGTATCCTTTGCCCATTTTTTAATTGGGTTATTTGTCTTTTTGTTGTTGAGATGTTGCAGTATCTTGTAGATTTTAGAGATTAGATGCTGATCGGATTTCTTGTAGCCAAAATTTTTTTCCCAGTCTGCAGGTTGTCTTTATACTGTTTTGGTGAAGTCTTTTGATGAGCATAAGTGTTTGATTTTTAGGAGCTCCCAGTTATCTAGTTTCTCCTCTGGTGTTTGTGCATTGTTTGTTATGGTTTGTATTCTGTTTATGCCATGTATTAGGGCTCCTAGCATTGTCCTTATTTTTTTTTCCGTTATCTTTATTGTTTTAGATCTTATATTTAGGTCTTATGATCCATTCTGAGTCAGTTTGTATGCATGGTGTGAGGTATGGCTCTTATTTCCTTTTTTTGTAGATGGATATCCAGTTATGCCAGCACCATTTGTTAGAGACTGTCTTTTCCCCAGTTAACGGACTTAGGGCCTTTGTCAAATATCAACTGCTCATAGATGGATGAATTTATGTCTGGATTTTCAATTCTGTTCCATTGGTCCATGTATCTGTTGTTGTACAGTACCAGGCTGTTTTGACTACCGTGGCAGTATAATAGGTTCTAAAATCAGGTAGTGTAAGGCTTCCCACTTTGTTGTTCTTCTTGAGTAATGCTTTACTTACCCGGGGCCTCATCCCTTTCCATATGAAGTTGGTGATTTGTTTCTCCATCTCCTTAAAAAATGCCGTTGGAATTTGGATTGGAATTGCGTTATATCTATAGATCACCGGGTAGAATTGACCTTTTCACAATGTTGAGTCTTTCCATCCATGAGCAAGGTATGTTTTTCCACATATGTAGGTCTCTTTTGGTTTCTTGCAGTAGTGTCTTGAGTTTTCATTGTATAGGTCTTTTATGTCTCTGGTTAGAGTTATTCCTAAGTATTTTATCTTCTTGGGGGCTATTGTAAATGGCATTGA